CGAGTACTTGCTGGTCAGCTCTGATGTTACATCAATTTACATATTTACAAATAATGAAATATGCAATTGGAAAAGCTAATAGCTGCTGTTAATAGGGATTACAGAGAATTTCTCAGTCTAAGCCCGACCTACAGCGCATCTAGATTGTTGCTGATAAACAACGATTTCTATATGTTTTACACTTGAATGTCTAGACATGTGGTTAACGAATCAGAGACATATAAGAGATCTTTTATATGTCTCTGAACGATTACACACCGTTTTCTAAACATTTGTTGTAGCCCGAACCCGATCCCCAAACAATGAAACATGGATTATTTACTCGGATTTATCCCAGAAAAAATTTAAAAATAATATATTTGAATTCCATGCAAATAAATATGACCAAAAATATCAAAAACACTTATTAAATTCTTTTATTAAAAAAATATTATTATTTAATAAGAATCTTATTTAATTTAACAAATTTTAGTAGAAAGCAAATCTGGCACCGAAGAGTGGCAGTTTTTTTTTCAGATCAAAGGAGTATTCATTATTTATGTGAAGATTCTTAGTCATTTTATTTATTTTCTGATATCAAAAAATATATTTTGTGATATCAAGAAATCAATTTGAATTTCTGATATCAAAAAATCATTTTCTGATATCAGAAAATCGATTTTTGATATCAGAAAATGATTTCTTGATATCAGAAAATCGAATTTTTGATATCAGAAAATGACTAACATTTTTTTATATCAAGAATTCGAATTTTTTATATCAAAAATTACATTTTTTGATATCATAAAATCCAGAAGATTTTATGATATCAGAAAATGATTTCTTGATATCAGAAAATCAAATTCTTGATATCAAAAAATGATTTTCTGATATCAAAAATTTGAATTCTTGTTTATTTTCTAATATCAAAAAATATATTTTCTGATATCAGTAAATGATTTTTTGATATCAGAAAATACATTAAAAATATTAAAACGGCGCCCCATAGACCCAGTCCTGTTTCATCAACTGCAATATTGCATTCAATATGGCGGCGGAGAAGTGACATAGTGCCTATAATGTTCGTGCTTCCGACAATCTAAATCTAGGTCACATATATAATTAAAGTTAACAAGATTTCTTTGATTATAATTTAAAATTCTTTTGTTGTTTATTTTATAAATGTTGATAATTGACTATACGGTAACTAAATAATCAATAAATTTGTTTCGTGTTTTTTTTGGACTATTTTTTATAGTCAAATTTAAAATAGTCATGGGGCCTTGTGCATTTCAAATCCATTCAATTAGACGGTATTTCGATTTATTTTAAGATGGTTATTTCAAGTAAAAATGGAAATATAAGGAATCACTGTCTAGTTTTGAGAGTATGCCAGGGACATCAACAATAGTGGGAAACAAGGGATAATTTTAGCATAACGGGCTATCCCATGTTTCCCACTATTGTTGATGCCCTGGCATACCCTCAAAACTAGACAGTGATTCCTTAAATCAAAAGTTATGGTTTAACAGACAAAGAGACAGACAGACACGACTAAAACTATATACCCCAGAAAATTCTTTTACGGGGGCATAAAATATTTATATCCAAGGAAATATCCTGTCACAATAAATACACCATTGAAGTATGAAACCCTGAGCATCAACTTCAAAAGAGCAGAACAGGGTTTAAATTAAAGTTTGATAATTTTTCTAAAAAAAAACTACCGTATAATCCCTATTAACCGCCCGGCAGAGGGGGTAAATAGGGATTATAAGGTAGGTCAAACTATACAAGCTCAAATATGATTTGTCTTTTCAAAAGCCTTAAGCCATACATGAATCTCCAACCCATGAAGATTTATGGGAAAGGCTCAACGAAGGTAAATCTTCAAAAGTGTTTCAAACTCCAAGGGCAAGTATGTTGGTCTTGTCGCAAGAATACACAGGAAATATGGAAGTTATAGATCCAATCTATGAATAGTTATGGTAAGGTTACGATTTTAAAGAAACTAGAGGTTCTGTGAGCAATGAGCTCACTTAATGATACCCCCGCCTCCCATATGTATAAAATGGCAGTGTTTATGTTTTCCTGTGGGAAACCAAAAATATGGGTCGGATAAAAAAGTAAAATTGGAGATGCACAATAGCAATATGTAATAAAGATTCCACACGGCGGGTGTGACCGGTCGGCAAGGGATGCTCAATCCTCCATGGCACCTGATCCCACCTCTGATGTTTCGGAGGTCCGTGTTTGCCCTGCTCTTGTTTTGTATATTGTTTAATGGACTTTGAGATTGAATACTGTTCGTTATCTCCACATCCTTCTTTCATCACATTTCATGCAGTGGTTTGAGAGCTAGGAGCAGCGGATATAAGAGATGGATATCCCAAAGCGCAATAGACAGATTGACGGACTTACAGACAGACAGACGGTCGGACATACCGTTTACTATATTACCCTCCTGCTTTTCAAGCGGGGGATATACTGTAATAAAAGAAAAAGTGAGCAAGCTCACATACCCCACGCTCTCCCAAATCTCAAGTGCTGAAAATCCCGGTAAAATAAAGGAATCGAATTTCCCGTTGATATCTGCAAAGAATCTGGGGGGATTAGGCGAGTCATATGCCCACAGGGATTTTTGTTGCTCTGTAAAAGTGTAAGCATATCGGAATAGTCGTACGATTTACATACATTTAAATTTGTAAAGCACTGTCCAAATGACAATATCTACATTTTTAAATCTTGCTGTTATCGTTAAAGTATTTTTAACATGTCATATGCTTTTCATACTGCGTGTTAATTGTTCTATCGAATATATTTTCAGGGGTTGGGAGATGGTACGCTTCAGTTTTCCTTTTAACTGTTTTTGGATACGGAACAGCCATACCGTGCTGGTCTACCCATGATTGTTTACATTTCAATTGTGCAATGTAGTCTTGAACTGAATGCACTCAAAAAGTTATATACTCAGTATCTTGAAAACTTGTTTATTATAGGAAACATATTAATTGACCGTAAATGTTCAAAATATTTAATGGTATGTCTCCGGATTATATGCACAATCTTTGAATTTCAAAGCTCTGGATCATACACTTTACGCTCAGAAACAAACTCCGAACTTCGATAACCAAAATATAAAACTTGACTAACTTATTTAAAATTCTTTACAATATTCAGGGGTTATTATCTGGAATGATCTGCCAATAAGTATCAGGAATTCCCAATCCCTTACAATACATATTTTAAAAAAGTGTTGAAAATTTTCTGCTTGTGAAACGCAATGGTTCTATGTGATTTTTTTTCTCTCTCTCTATGCTGAGATGTTGATGTTTTATTTCTCTATTTATTGATAACATAACATACTGTCCAATTTTTATTATCTCCTTATTGTGATTTGTATTTATTGTGTATATACATTGTATATGTGTTATAAAGAGGTCCCCGAGGAAGACTAGTGCTCACACTAATCGGGTTACCTTCTATAAATAAAGTATTATTATTATTATTATTATTAAATAAATTTATTAGGCCCTATCTTTTTTTCACTTTGTTTTCAGTGAAAAAATATATTTATCTATAAATTTCAAACCGAACTTAAAAAAATCGTGATTCGAACACTCGCGACAAATAACTGGGTGCTTTAACACTGCAGCTATGGCCACTGAGCCACGAAGTCGCATATGCATGTACATTACACTTTAAATAAGTTCTATATGTATAGCAAGCACGCAATTGGACTTAGAGTTTTAAAGAATATGTTCCGAAATTTGAGTAAAAAAACTAACTTTTTTTTAATATAAAGTGGGTCTTCGTACCATTTTTTTGAAAATGTGAGAGATACATTCTCCCATCCCATTTCAATATTTGTTTACAAAAAAATGGTACGAAGACCCATGCACTCTATATAAAAAATACGGTTTTAACATTCAATGTCTATAATTTTCACGGTTATTAAAGCGTGTTACCATTTTGTTGGGTTAATTACAATCAATTTTTAAGTCATTTGATTCAGGTTTTATGATTTTTTATCTTTACTGTATGCAGATGTTTATAAATAACTCTCAGATTTAACAAAAAAGTGGTACGAATTTTTAATTCAATATTTTACCTTCCCTTGTGTAGGCATAAGACTTGCATAATCCCCCCAGATTCTTTGATGAAATTACTGTATGTGCAGCAGTTTATGAGGAGTTGAGCTGACAAACTATTAATCGCTATATTCAAGATATCCCAAAAAGTCTAAGTTCAAAAGTGCAGAAATTCCCAGAAAAATTTATAAAGGATTTGGAATTTCCTGGTAATATGCACTCTATACATTGTGTCCTAAATATCTGCAAAGTTTGACGAAATTCTGTGCAGCGGTTTATGAGGAGTTGTGCTGAAAAAATGTTCATTTCTGTAATATATCCAAGGTGTGGACAAAAATCTATGTTGAAAAGTGCCGAAATTCCCAAGAAAAAATGAAGGAATCAGATTTTCCTGGTAATATTCACATCTACATATTTTGTCCGAAATATCTGCAAAGTTTGACGAAATTCTGTGCAGTGGTTTATGAAGAGTTGTGCTGACAAAAAAAAGGACTGACTGACTGATGGACGAGTCAAAAACATCATACCTCACGCAACTTGTTGCGTGGGGTATAAAAACAGAGACAGGGCAAAATCTATACTTTATGCTGAATCATCAATTATAGGGGCATAAATATAGTACATGTAATTATAATATTTTTGATTCATGCAACAATAATAAAACGAAATTGATTAAATGACCATGCAAGCTTTCTTCACAACCAAGGGCTAAACACTATCGTTTTGTCTTCTTGCTATTTCTAATTATTATATAGTGTATGAGTGCTCAAATAGAAAGAAGACAAATCAATTGTGATGACCCCCTGTCTTTCACCCTTTGATTTAGAATGAACTAAAAATTCTTAAACAAACTTTAATAAAAATATTTAAACATATAAATAGTATTTATGTACAGAATTCCCAGTGCTGTCCAGGGAAGGCTTCCAGTTCTTACTCACACGCCTGACGGAACTTTTTGAATTCTGACTTGACTTTTTTTTTCTCGGATTTGTTTTTGTCGTATTTCCTTTTCAGCACGCTACAGTATGTAGCCAGGTCCTCCTTAGTGGACTCGTCATACTCCTGGATGGTTTCTTTGATATCAACTTCACATTCTGCAAATGGATAATGCACACTATAAAATGATGTCAATGTACACGTGTACAACAAAATTGTTAATTCTTACCAACACAATTTCACAAACAAAATTCACGTAAAATGTGATAAAAAAGAGGAATTCAATATTTATTTTAATGCAAGCAAGAATTGAAGACCAAATCTGTTATAAAATCAAAAGAAGTTTGTAAAATGTTACCCTTCAATAATCTCTCAATGTTTTGGTACTGTGAAAACTTTTGTTTAATCTTTGAACATGTCTCTCTTTCCTTTGTAATAGATTCTTTAAGGTATATCACCTCGAGTTCTAATAAATCTCTCTCCTTTTTCACAGTTTTTAGTTTTTCCTTCAAAGATTTCACCTTCGTCTTTAACTTCCATTCTTCAGTATCATCACCTTCGTTGTCATCATGCGCATCTTCATCAAAAAAGAGACGATTTATAACTCGCGTCGGATCAACTCTACATCGGCATTTTGGACAGGTTTTTGAGTTTTTAAGCCATGTTGATAGACATCCTTTATGGAATGTGTGCCCACACTGGACAGCTGCTATCCCCAATGACAGGTCGTTGAAAAAATGTTCAGAGAAGATGCTACACTGGGCGTTCATGTCTTACAGTGGTATTATTGCCTGCAAGATAAATCGATCAAATCAAAATAAGAGTTTGGACATCAGGCACGAGTACAGAAGTTTTTTTTTCAGGGGGAGGAGGTCGACCCCTGTCAAAAATAAAACAAAAGGCCCATGGGCCACATCGCTCACCTGAACACTGTGGCTAGCATAAAAGCAGAAATTAGTTTATAATTGAAAAGTTTAAACCCAAAAGTTTCCCAACCATTCCTTAAAGGGGCGAGGGTACAATTTGTACAGACTCGAATCTACACTACCTGAGGATAATTCCATATAAATATTGACCAATAATGGCTTTGTTATTCTTGAGAGGAAGATCTTCAAAGAATTTTCCCATATATTTCTATGTAAACTTTGGTCAGCCATTGTGGCTCCTCACAACCCCCGGGGGTCATTATTTGAACAAACTTGAATCTACAATACCTGAGGATGCTCCCATATAAATATGACCAATCATTGCTTTGTTATTCTTGAGAAGAAGATTTTTAAAGAATTTCCCCATATATTTCTATGTAAAACTTTGGTTGGCCATTGTGGCCCTGCCCTACCCCCAGGGGTCATTATTTGAACAAACTTAAATCCATACTATCTGAGGATGCTTCCATATAAATATGACCAATCATGGCTTTGTTATTCTTGAGAAAATTCTTAAAGAATTTTCCTATATATTTCTATGTAAAACTTTGGTCGGCCATTGTGGCCCCGCCCTATCCCCAGGGGTCATGATTTGAAGAAACTTGAATCTACACTACCTGAGGATGATTCCCCATGAGTTTCATCTTTCTTGGCCCAGTGTTTCTTGAGAAGATTTTTAAAACATATCACCAAATTTTCACTAATTCTCAATTATCTCCCCTTGAATGAGGAATTGGCCCTTTATTTGAACAAACTTGAATCCCCTTTACCCAAGGATACTTTGTGGCAAGTTTGGTTGAAATTGGCACAGCGGTTCTTGAGAAGAAGTCGAAAATGTGAAAAGTTTACAGACAGACAGACGGAGAGACAGACGGACGCCGGACAAAATTTGATCAGAAAAGCTCACTTGATTCTTCGGATCAGGTGAGCTAAAAAATAAACATGTATATCGGTCGGGGGGGGGGGGGGTTATTACAGACATTTGTGTTTCTGACAAGGGGTCACCGTTCCCTAAGGGGGGGATCCAAAGTCACTTTTACTTGGTTTTTGTATATATGCAAATTTCAGGGGGGAGGGGTCCGGAACCCCCGACCCCCCTGGATCCCCGCATGGACATGACGCCACAGAGTTTTCCTTTGAAGACATTAAGTGTACAATAACCCAAGGTCATGACACATCCTTAGGTCATGAGCAATCTTTGTGTGAAATGTGAATTACCAAGTTTATCCATAAGGAAGATATTGACGGGACACGAATTATGAATTTTTTTTTCCAGTGACCTTGAACTTCCTCAAATGACCTTGGGTCAAGGTCAAGAGACACCCTTAGGTCATAAGCACTGTTTGTGTGAAATTAGAACCTACCAATTTATCAATAAGAAAGATATGGACCCGACAAAAAATATGAAATTTTTCTTCCAGTGACCTTGAACTTCCCCAAATGACCTTGGGTCAAGGTCATGGCACACGCTTAGGTCATGTACAATCTTTGTGTGAAATTAGAACCTACCAAGTTTATCCATAATAAAGATATGGACCGGACACGAATTATGATTTTTTTCTTCCAGTGATCTTGAACTTCCTCAAATGACCTTGGGTCAAGGTCATGACACACGCTTAGGTCATGTACAATCTTTGTGTGAAATTAGAACCTACCAAGTTTATCCGTAATAAAGATATGGACCGGACACGAATTATGATTTTTTTCTTCCAGTGATCTTGAACTTCCTCAAATGACCTTGGGTCAAGGTCATGACACACACTTATGCCATGGGCAAACTTTGTGTGGAGTAGTAGATTCTAAAGTTCCTCCGTAAGAAAGATTTGGACCGGAGACGTTTATACAGACAGACGGATCGACAGCTACACATACGGACGGACAGACGGACAAGGAGATTCCTATATATCCCCTCCCAAACTTCGTTTGCGAAGGGTATAAAAAATTAATTTCTCTAAAATCTCTCATTTTCGTTTCAATTTTTAAAATATGATTAACAAACATGTTGTACTTAGATGTGACTACTTTTATGGTGTTTTTATTCATAGCTTTAAAAAATATTTACAAATACGTTTTACTTAATAAATAATTTTTATAACAAACAAGATGTGTTTGTGAAACACTATGCGTCCGGCGTCAACAAAGTTCGAAAGACAGGACAAAAACAATGTACGCCCCTGATCTACCGATCCGGGCGCATAAAAAATTAAAAATCTAACCAGCCTTTCTTTACATATTTTATAAGATATTCATATGATGCATTCATTTACAGCAAAATTTTAACTCGAAAACAACTTATGTATTTGGATATAAACTTTTTTTTCCATTTTCTTTGAAAAAATACAGAAAAAATAATAACTAGATACTCTTGTTGCTACAGCAACAAATAAGGTCTTCCGTTCTTCAGACTTCTTAATTATCTGTAAGAAGGATATTTTTCTATTTAAAAAAAAATAAAGGACAAAATGCAAAAAAAAAAAGAAGAATCCTCGATCTAGGCTCGATCCCAAAACCAGAATGAAAGTCTGACACGCTAACCACTGAGCCATTGAGTTCGACAACAAAAAAGGTACTTTGTAAACTTATCATTTTAAGGTTGAAGGAAGTAGTTTCGTAGTACTCATTCTATAAAATATATTTATGGGATAGTATGATTCTCAATTAATAAAGTTTTTCCCTCATAACTGGAAGTTGCTGTTTTTGTTTCTTTTGGGACGGACATATATCGCAACAACAATTAAGATGCAATAGTGTGATGCCAAGAAGTATTCCTAAAGAAAAGTTAAAATTCATGATTTCTTTGATCACTTCCTGTGACGACCGGAAGTGACGGCAGACAATCTTATCTTAATTGTTTTTGCCAACTCATCAAGATTAACCACTTTATTAAGTTTGGTGTCTTAATCTCTCAACGTTTACGAGATCTAGCTATGATAACTTCTCATTTTGAGGACAGGAAATCACGCAACCGGAAGTGAGTTTTGCAAAAATTTCTTGACGATAATGTAGACATTTGCAGTCTGAATAGCATATCCAAGAATCATTACAAATACGTCATAAATAAATGATATTTATTGGAAAGAAAAACACTCAAATTATGTAGTTTCCCTCTTTTAACCGGAAGTTGTCTCTTTTTGTTTCCAGTGGTACTGAAATAATTGAAAACAACAAATAAGATGCTCTAATGTGAGGCTTAAACAGTTTCATAAAAGAAAAGTTGAAAATTTCGATTTTTGGATCACTTCCTGTGACGACCGGAAGTGACGGCAGACGATCTTATCACAACTAATTTTGCCTACTTATCAAGATCTATCACTCTAGATAGGTTTGGTGTCTTTATCTTTTACCGATTACGAGATCTAGCTATGATAACTTCTAATTTTGAGGACCGGAAATCACGCGACCGGAAGTAAATTTTACAAAGATATTTGACGTTACTGTAGACATTTGCAGTCTGAATTACATATCCAAAAACCATTTCAAATACATTAGGCATAAAAATTATTTATGGGAGAGAAAAATACTGAAAATATGCAGTTTTTCTCTTATAACCGGAAGTTGTCGTTTTTGTTTCCAGTGAGACTGATATATTTCGAAACTACAAACAAGATGCTATAATGTGATGCAAAAAAGTTTCAAAAAATAAAAAGTTGAAATTTTCGATTTCTTTGATCACTTCCTGTGACGACAGGAAGTGACGGCGGATGATGTTAACCCAATTGGTTTTGCCTACTAACCAAGATCTATTATTCCTATAAGTTTGGTGTCTTCATCTTTTACCGTTTCTGAGATATGACTCGGACAAAACTTTTTTGAAAAAAGCGTAAATCGGACATAACTGACGACCGGAAGTGAATTTTGAAAAACTGTAAACTGCATTTAAAAGATATTTTAACTCTCTATCATCCCTGAAAATTTCATGAGAATCCACCAAGTCATCTCTGAGAAATCGTCAAAAAGAGAAAAGGGAAAAAAAATAATAATAAAAAAGAAAAAACAGTAGAATCACTATAAGGTCTTCCGTCTGAAACGGAAGACCTTAATAATGTAAAATTATTGAGAGCTAATGTTGGCCTTTCAATGCCGAAACCATTGTTTAAAAAAGAAGGACTCAAAGATCTATAAAATGAAAAGTTGGCGTGGCATTCCAGCTTAATCTTAGCCTTATAAAAGACTGATCTCACTGTTCGCTAAATTTTACTGTTGAGCCCATTTCAACGCTGTTTAGTTATATGAGCGTTAAACACAAACACATATTTGTAAATTTACCAAAAGAAGCTAAATTTTACTGTTGAGCCCATTTCAACGCTGTTTAGTTATATGAGCGTTAAATACAAACACATATTTGTAAATTTACCAAAAGAAAAAATACCTTATTCATCAGTTACTGGCTTTCATGGAATAATGGACAATCTGACTATTTGCGAGTTACTGCTCAGGATCAATGGCTTTGCGAACACTATTCACGATACCGGAAGTGGTACTATAGGCATGGGTCATAGATCAAGAGATGAAATCAAGCATGAAATTAAATCAACTCTCAGTGGCGGATCTAAAATAACTATAAAGTACACACAGTACTTGTGAATTGAAATGACCCCTCGGCCTCCTCAGGACACGCCCCTATAGCTATATTCGCCTGAGTGGTTAATTGATTCAGTAATTAAAAACGAAACTCCAGGGTGAATCAGAAAACTTCTATACCATGAGAACAATTTTTGGCAAGTGAAAGCGAGATAAATATATCTATGATAATGCATATTTTTGAAATATTTTAATACGATGACTTTCGTTTCACAAAACCTGCTTATAAAAATTCAAGACGTTGTTGGTTTTTTAATGCATAT